CTGGAATCTAGTCTGGTATCTCTGTGATCCAGCAATGGTCGGCTATTCTTGCAACGAATCCAGAAGAATCAGATCATGTATGAAAAATATATTATATATAAGCCAAAGACCAGACGAAGTCAATGAATTTAGGCTTAGAGATGTACAAAAATATGTATATCTGGAAGAGCTGATGAGTGAAAGTGTAAAACGGCTGCTAGAGATGAGTAGAAAACTCAAAATAGGATGAAACGCTTTTGAAAGACTGAAAATCTTCTTATCCGCGAAACTGAACTTCTTCTTTCCCTGAAAGTCTACGGGTGAAAGTTTTCGTTTTCATCAGTGTGCACTATTATGAATGCGAAACGTGGACACAGAGTCTATAAACAATTCACAAACGGTACGTGACGCAGCCAAGAGCAGTATACGCAGGCAATAGCAAGAAAGAACAGAATGACGAGCGAATAGGTAAGAAGATAAACAGGAGTCTGAGATGTCATTGCACGAATGAATATACTGAACTGCCTACGGGCAGGGCACGTTGCAAGAAGAACCGCCTAGCACTGAAACATAGAGACAGTAGACCGATTTCCAAGAGAGTAAACGACCCGTAGGAAGATTTCCACGTCAACCGGCGGCTAATCAGTTAAAGAAATTCGCTGGATCAAGACAAATAAAAACTGCGGAAGTCAGAAGTTTAGGAAAAAATATTGGAATGGCCCTTACGCGGCAATGAATCGAAAAAGAATTATGCTGATTATCATTAGAAACAAAGAAAAACCCATAAACAGTCGTAAAAATTGGTTGCTACAGGTGTAGTGACGTAGTAGTTGCATCGCAAATTTTTATTTTTATGAATTTGACGTCAGCTTGAATTAGAATATATACCTTCGTTCCTTGACTCACGAATCAACGGTATAAAACATTTTACTAGATTCTCTTAAAGTAAACAAAGGAATCTGCTTCGCTTTATTAACTTGAAGTCTTGAATCTCAGTCAGTCAGTTTCGATGATTGCTTATTCTCAGGATCGCGGAAACAGACGCATCGAATAGTATCGCCAAAATTCCCGATCCTATGCCAGCAAGCATTTGAGCATTGGCAGGAGACAACCCGAATCTATAGCAAAGTAATTCGATACATTTTTCCTAGGTTATTCTTTGCCAATCCCGGGGTCTTCGACCAGTCGATTGGACAGATTATAGCAATTTCATCTCACATTCTGGAAGGATTCAAAGGTAGGGCCCGAACAATCAAAGCTGCAACTTTTCAACCTGATAAACAGCCGCTTACATAACGGTTTCCCCCATATACTTGCTCCAGAACATGTCAAGGCACGTGAGCTAAGAGATTCGTCTCAGAAAGGCCATTTCGGCCGCCCGCTTTCACCCCAGATCGAACTTTTTCGGGCGTGGCCCACGACTCATGACCATTGGTGAACTTGGGGATGAAGATCAACTTGAACACAGAGAACTTAGCCTTCAGACTCAACTTTGTTTTAATCACAACTGTTGAGGCTAATTTCACGCAGAATGCTGCAGGCCATTCCAATTCGCCGGTCGATCTTTGGGTCCAATTTTCGACCTTCATTAAACACCCCCATGAATTACTTGAACTCCACTGCTTCTCTGTTTATTCGAAGAACAACGGGCAGGAGAACGAGAAAGCACTAGGCTTTTCATTTTAGATTTTTTCACATGCATACCAGCCACATGGCACTCGGCTGCGAACCTTTCGAGTGAGCACTGGAGATCACTTTCATAACATATCAATAAAACAAAGTCGTCTGCAAATAGCAAGCATCTCGTCTCCACATCTCCTACATCGATACTCTCATCGCTTTAGCTGCTCCTGATTATTCTATCCATGCACAACACCAACCAGAGAAGGGACAGGATGTAGCGTTGGCGGAGACCAATGCCAAAGCCGAATGGTTTCGACTTAGCACCACATACCTGCTGCTAGCGTATGGCGACAGAATGACTCATAGAAACTGGTCATCAAGCCTATATGTGCAGGCTCACCCACAGCATACTGAGCTGGATCCGGTCATATGCCTTAAATCTCAAATTAATAAAAGATTAAATATCATTATTAAATAACCGTGCTTTGCATATTACAATAAACGAAGAAAATGCAAGATCCGGAAGATCAATCTCTTATGACTGCCAAGTGAAACTTTAAACAAGTTTTTTCTTAGTCTTTTTACGGACTTCATGCTAAGCTTGAAAGTGCCATGAAGAAAAGGAAAAGAAAAGGACAATTTTTCAATCGGTGAGATGTCGATCGGCTTTACACTTCAATGATGGGCGCATTTGTGGGACGATGTTACTTCAGAAAGCGTAGGGCGTGATGCCGATCTCTGTTGCTATGCCAACAACCATGAGTGCCTTACTTTTTAACGTACTGTTTATAATGTGAGGTAGATATTCGTGCATCGTCGTATTTTCCTCCCAAAGAGTGAAATACATTTGTTTGTTTCAGAAGGATCAAAAGCCAGTGACCGAATCTGGGCTTCAACCCAAAACCTTTTAACGGGGTTCGATGCTCTATCGATTGAGCAATCGAAGTTTCAGCAGTGTCCTGGGAGAAACGTCAAATCAGGTTACCCGAAAAGTCGGGAATGCCGAATATAGCTCATCAGTTTTTTTTTAGTTTTAATTTTAGGCAACGACGGAATTGCAGATCGTGCGGGTGATGAGATGATGAGGCGAAATTGAGTCAAATTCATTAGTCCGAAAATTTCTGACTCACAACAGTCGAAGATTCACGTCGTCGCGTGATTTTTTATATATAAAACGAAACGAGGCAATTATCGCAGACTTAATGAGAAAAGTGAAGGAAAAAGTGCGACCTTTGACAACGAGACTATAAACTTCGAGTGAAGCGAAGTTGAGCCTATTTTCAGAGTGTTGGACATCTGCCTCCAAAAAACCCAACCAACTCCAATTCACTTGTTGCCGATTACCTCATCCAATACGCTGATTGATACGATCTACAAAAAGACGCTAATATATGTTGCCAATTATGGCAGAGCGAGGGGGACCGACGAATGTCTCCCACAGACGGCGGCGATCGATGACCAGCGACGGCAACTAACGACGATTTGAGCGACACAGACACACAACGAATACCGCCG